AAGCAAAATAAAACAGAAAAAGAAAAATACTGATGATTTCACTTATATATGAAATATGAAGAAACAAACAGTGAAACTAAACCAAAACAAATCCAAATCCTAAATATCTGACTGCAAATTTGAGACTATCAGAGTATCAGGTTAAGGAATGAGAAGGAAAGGGAGTCAAGATCCGAACCACTATGGTGGAAGATTACTCATTCAACGCTGTGGACCGATACCCCTAAATCACATACAGTGTGTAGGTCAACATTACCTCAGTAAAAAAATACAATTATTTCTAAAATACTGGATTAAGATACTAAAGAAAAAAGTTCTGCTTTTATGTATTTCCAATGAATCCATTCAAACTCAGGGAAATTATTTCCAAGTATTTTAAATCAAGCGTTTTTCTAGGTGATGTGTACCATTTTTGGTATGAAAGTCAGGTAAGAACAGAAATACTGTTATTTTTCAAAATCACCTTCCCATGACAAATTGTCTTTCAGAAAGCAATTTCTTTCTCACTCAGTTAAAATGTTATTATTAGCTTATTTCAACATAAATTTTAGATAATCATGTGCTAAGCTGCATACTATGGGTAGCTACTTGTCATTAAGGAGACAAAGTTAAGAAAATCAGAAGGGCTCTATTTGAAGGGAAAAAGCATATACATAACTCATCTTTAAGATCAAGAACTCATACATGTGTCACAAGACAATGAGCAAATATCTGAATATATGAACAATAATCATGGCCACTCCCATCTCATAAAATACTACAAAGAATCGAGATGGAAAAAAAAATGTACAAAATGATGTAAAAATAAACTTTTGTAATAAAAAAAATACTACAAAGACTCTAATGTACTTTAAAAGTATTTTATTATCACGTTACAATAAAACTATCCACAGTAGTATTATTTTTGCAATTCTGGTTTCAATTCCTTTCCTGCATTAGCCTATTAATGATGTAATAAATTTTTTGTGTATGATGTTATCTCCATTACACCCAATATTTACAGAGAAGTAAGCCACTCTATCACCAATCATTCTCACATAACCCTTCCTTAAAAACTGTTTGTTCTATTCAGTAAGTCACTATCATTGCACGTCTTTCCTCCAAGATATTTTTTTTTAGTAACTCTCAAAAAAGTACCTATTTTTCTTTGAAAGAGAACCTCAACTTAACCTTAAATTGAAATATGCAAAAAGTATTATATAGCTTCTTATAACTTGCTGCTACCCTACAAATTCAGTTTTAATATTTTAACTCTAGCAATACTTTTTTGTGCTTCTCTCAACAATAGTTGCGTGCAAGAATGCATTTTACTTTGTCCTCATATTATTTTTTGCCTTTTTGTCCCTGAATAAGGCATAAAGAGTAATTCTAAGCATTTATCATTATGTTTGGTAAATCTGGGAATCTGGGGGAGAATAGATTGTATCAAAGACTTAAATATGGAAAAAAATCACAGGGCTGTCTTCATGTTCTGCTTGCTTAGATTAGAGTGGCCTGCAGATTATGATTTTTTTTTTCATTACCTAAAATCTCAAGGCACACTACATACTTCTAAGATGAATAGAGTTAAACTGACCATATTTTAAATACTTTTCTTGATATTTTAAACTTGTCACATTAGATTAGGTGGTTATCATTTTTATCTCTAACCCCTTAGAGATAAAGAAAGAAGTGCAGCTCTAATAAAGAATAGAAGTGCAACTCTATGATATTTTATTGGGTCATAATAGTTTATTTTTACATAACAGTTTATTTTCACATCATTTTGTGACTATTCCCATCTCAGTTGTAATCCCTGTGGGCTTCCCATCACCAAATCACCTGTGTGCCATCACCATAGTCCAGTGCAATTATTATTATTATTATTATTATTATTATTAT